ATTGTTGTTCAGAATCGTCTCAGCTACCCCCCATTTCCGGCTCCTCCCCGACTTTTGGGACACCCTGTATATGGCTGAAACATTCAATAGATATACACACAACGAACTTTGACCATCACTATTTAGAAAATTTGTAACTAACAATAATTTTAATTACTGTTATTTTTCAGGTACTATAACAGAAAATATGGGTAAAAAAGGTGACGACATACAAATAGTCGAAGACGGACCCGACAAAGAGAAGAAGGCTAAACTATGCCCACAAATAATAGCTAGTATTATAGGTAAATATTTCTTAATGAATTCACAGTCGTCGTGTACACAAATTTTGTGATTTCAAACTGTAGAAAGGACAAAACATTTTCTAATGCTTTCATTTGTGGAACAATTTAAAGAAATTAACAATTGTCGATCGACAGACAGTAGTTCTACGGGATTACCATAGTATTGTGCCTTTTCTCAGAATTTGTATGTATGAAATGAAAATACAAGCGGTATGAGGTACATTTTAATACTATAAATAATAAATATTCATACATTCCACTGAAAAGTTTAACAAACGTATTGTGTTCATTATGAGTTTATTATTATGTTCATTAATTTTATTATACATATATATAAGAATTTCGCATTTTTTCAAGGAAATTTAATATATAAATAATAATTGCGCATTCTTATTCAATGGGAAAAATAAAAATATGGAATTAAAATAATATCCTTGACTCTTATAATCGTCAAATAATCAAATAAAGGCAAACTTCCTGTACTACACATGCATACTACAGCTATACTCTGCATACGTATCAATCTTCACCAGGAATTATTTAGTAATTCGAATCATGCTGGACGAGACGTGATTTGTTAAATTAAGTTGCTGGGATTGTATTGAAATCTAAAATAAAGCTATTTGCATCGGCCGACGAAAAATGTTATTGACGCAATTTTTTCGATATACACTCGTACAAAAAAAAATAGGGAACACTTTATAAATCCTAAAAATTAGGCTATATTCCAATAGCTGTAAGTCGGTGAAAAATCATCGTAAAAATAAAAGTACAATAGCGTTTTAAAGCTTGAAGTTTCAACTTTAATGTGGTATTATGCGATTTTTAAATTTCTATTATTTTTTTCTTTGGTGTTTTAAAAGATAACACGTCATTTTGTTCCTTAAAATTACGTATTTTTAACAACTCAAAAGTCAATAAAAAAATTTTATTTCGAAAAGTTCAATTCAAATTATGTAAACTACAATATGTTACCTATAAAATGCATTTTTAGAAATTGTCCTATGATTTTTTCTGACCGATTTATACGACTTTGAAGTCATCGTAGACAAAAAAACAAAAAAGCATTTTAAAGTTTGAAATATCAACTTTAACGTACTGTTGATGGTTTAAACAAATTTTTTTGTCTTCCTTGTTCTGTGCTGCAAAAAAGAATGCATTGTTTTGCGCATAAGTGACGAATCTTTAATACTGTGCAGTTTAATAAAAAAATTTTTCTCGAAAAATTTAACTCAAGTTCTAGAAACTATAATATATTACTTACAAAATACTTTTTTAAAAACCAGTCTACGATTTTGTTTGACTGATTTGCACGATTTTGAAAGTTAACCCTTTTATTCTCTAAAGGTGACGTTTACCGCCGACATTAATGTTACCCAATGTGCACCACGTGAAGGTTGCCGGTCGGAATTTGTACATCGGGCGCGCGCGATCACAAATCACACTGCAAGAATCACTTGCGCTAAAGTTTGGCGCGTAATTTGAATCAATTGAGAGAAGTGATTCTTGCACATAGGATGTCAAGCTTCTTCAATTGCTACTAATAATAATAATGTAACAAATATTGATAATGTCAAATAGTATAATATATATTTAATATACACTATTCTATATTTTGTATAAGTTACGTACAATAAATTATACATAAATATTACAACAATATTGCACCTTAATTGAATTTACTAAGTTGATATTTAAAAAATAAGTTATAATTATCCACATAACAAAAACTATGATTGAAAGTAAGATTTTTATTAAAAAATTAAAATTAATTATTAAATTGGAAAAGTATGAAAACCATATAGTGTGCACATACATTTAAAAAAATTATTAAATATATAATATTATAATTTTATATATAATTTTTTCTAGAATAATAATGTACATTTTTTGTAGAAATAAATACATGAAAATGTTTTCATTTTAGATACGAAGAAGAAGAATATTAGATTGTCTTGTACATGAACTTTTACCAAGGTTTTCATTCTCCAATTCATATCATCTGCAGGAAACGTACAAATATAAAAATTAAAATCACAAAATTAATATTCAAATTAATTTCAAGGAAACACTTGCAAAAAAATTACTCAATTGCTTCGAGGAGGCTAATTAATAACAGCCAAACTTATTATTGAAACCATAAAAGTATGAACACAGAAAAATTTGAAAGCAATCGAGATTTAGAAATTAACAATACTGAATTACCTAGATCTTGTTGGTAATATTTGCTGGTTGATAATAATTTAGAAGATTAACTTTTTAATTTTAAATTTTATACTTGTAGATATTTCGAATATGATACAAAACTAGAGTCGTAAAGTCGTAACGTTAATAAATAGCGGATGCTCTTTTTATGTATAGCAGCCATTCTATTAACATTTGTATTGCATAATATAATATGTTAATTTACAGCTACATTATCCTTTCTCGCCGCCGGACTTATTTACTCTTGGCCAACGCCTGTTCTACCTCAAATCGAGACCAAGAATGTTAAGTTGCTCGTGACTTCTGACGAGGGAGGATGGATAGTTAGCGCGTTGCCAATAGGTGCCATTTTTGGTCCAATTGCATCTGCTTTACTGATTGATAACATGGGCAGAAAATGGTTCCTTTATATAACTTCGGTACCATTCATTGCCTGCTGGATACTTACATACCTGGCCACTGATTGGTTATTAATTTTCGTGGGAAGATTGGTCGGTGGGATTTCAATTGGATCTATTTTCGCCGCGGTTCCGATATATCTCGGAGAAATTGTCGAACCAAGAATCAGAGGAGCTGTTGGTACTTTATTGGGGCTATCACTTAGTGTAGGAAATCTATTAATGTGTGGAATTGGACCACTGATAGACATGAAGGTAAATCTTAATACTGTACAGACGTTCATTAAATTATTAGAGGAATTGAAAATATTCTCTATTAATAGTCTCTCTATTTTAACCACTTTAGTAAGGCACTCATCGACCGCGAAACCGCGCCCACAGCCGGCACTCATCGGCGCGGCGTGGTCGGCGTGCTCGGCGTGTACTAGGCCAATCAGTAGAGCATTTTTGTGTGATAAACATAGTAACAAGTAAAAAACCCTTGTAAACCTACCTTATATACCTTTCTCTTCGGCTGCCGCTGACCCCCACCACTCCACCGCGATTGAGCGTTCGGCCGTGTTTAGTCAACTTTACAAGGACTTTTCTCATACTTCAACACATTTGATCGAAAAACTAGAATATACGTTTTATAGTACACGACGTCAACTATTCACATCTTTCTTAAAAATAAAAATCGGTTTTACGATAACGCATACAGGCCCGATGGAAAAAAGCGCACTGAAAAATTCAGATTGCGATTGTAAGAAAACCACCTATCCGACAATCCCTGCTTTTTGCACACGTGAAGAAAATATCAATCACTACTTGTTCCCAAAAAGCCAGTACTTCAGTTTAAAAAATGGCGGAGATACGAATTTTTGAAAAAACGCTAAATATTCCGGTTTGTCAGATTTTTCTCCGTTCCTCATTATCCGATCGAGACGTTCGAGGTCTCATTCTGTAGCTATTTTCATCATCAACATTTTATCTCATTGGAGCATTGATATTGCTGCATTAGTTTAAAATTTATAAGCAAAAAACGACACAAATCACGATTTTTTACCATTAAATTGTAAATAACAAGAAAACGGAACAGAGTTGGGAGTGAAAAACATGTACCTATTAATCTACGCATCCCCTTTTATGTAACTGCACAATCGGTTTGCTGCTATTATTTTTGTCACAAAAACGCTGTTTTAATTCTCTACCGATTGAGCTAAATATGTATACATACATATTTTTCTTCTAATTTTACAAAACATTCAAATACATATGATATTTTACCATTTTGTCCCGTACTCTATTTACTTAGCATTAGAACTACCACGCCGGTCAAATGACTAGTGTATATTGAAATTATTATTAAAATTATTTACTCATTAACGATACGTTTGCTACAATTTTTAATGGCAATTATTAAAGTGCAATTATTAATGGCAATTATTAAACACTGTAAAATTTGTTCACAAATCCCATTTTTTTTGTTCCGATTCTTGAAAGACACACATTTCAAGAATGTTGTGTCAAATGTTGAGAAAGAATCGCAGGATTTGCTCGAGTTACAGTCTTGTTAAGCGTTCTAAACAGCACTTTCCAATATTTTTGTTTCAATAAATTTTATTCTATTCTTATTGTGAAATTAAGAAATTTGTTTTGAAAGTCTCGCCATTTCATAATTCTATGAGATATCGAAAAAATTATACGTCAAACTATAGCCATAGGTATCTAGACAATTTATTGCTTTTATATTTGAAACATATATTGTGGCCACAGACTTGTTTACTGAACACTAGTGTTTAATTGTTTAAATATTCAATATATCATAATAAAGATTTGAAAGTAATTCATAGAATACAACATTTTTAAAAATACATCTTGTTTTAGGGCTGTTACAGTATTGCACACCCTTAAGGTGAATTATATTGATAAATTGATTTGCACTTTCCCTGTAATTTTAAAGATATAGTAGTATGTTCCACAAGTATCTATTGTTCTCGGTAATTCTAATGCTAAAACCAATTATCACCACGCAGGCACCGTGTGACTTCAAAATCAATGTTCTCGATAACGAAGCCCCATGTGAAGAAACGTCCTTATGAAGAATGACCAATTTTCCAGTCGCAACTTGAATTATTTCCCATCCTATATTTCTTAAGGCGCGTTATAATGAATTTATGATTTTCTTACATGTCGCACGATTACTGTTTCAGTTGCTGGCACTCTTTTGCTTGGTACCAACAGTCGTATTCGTTTTAACAGCTACATGGTTGCCGGAATCGCCTTACTACTCCTTAAAAAAAGGCAAGCGGGAGACTGCAGAATTATCCTTAGTATGGCTGAGAGGTAAAATTGACAATGAAAAGGAAATAAATGAAATTGTTGAATACATAAATGCGGAAGAAAAGGGAGGCTTTAAAGAACTGTTCACGGATCGAATAAACAGGAAATCATTACTGATTGTGCTGTTGTTATCAGCTGGTCAACAATTATCCGGAGTAGGAGCTGTCCAATCGTACGCTGGATTTTTATTCAAGGATATGTCTTTAAAACTAAGTCCCAATGATCTTGTTCTAATATTGTGTGGACTGGGTATAGTGGCAGGTGCCCTATCCGTAGTTGTGATCGACAGGTTCGGCAGAAGATACCTTTTCCTGATATCAAGTTACATCGTTGGTCTATGCCTTTGCCTTATAGGAGTGTACTTCGTTCTTCAGAAACAAATGAAGCTTGATAAATTTTCTTGGATACCGTTAGCCGCTTCTGTAGTTTACTACATCTTCGTCTCCCTTGCTTTGACCTCAATAGTATCAGTGGTCTCCTCGGAAATCTTCTCGATAAGAGTGAAACGCTGGGCAACGATGTTTATACACATTTTCGGATCCTTACTTAACCTCATCGTGACAAAATGTTATCAACTTGTGGTCGACGCTTTCGGCTACCCCGTGATATTCTTCGCATTAGGCATTATTGAGCTTATTGTAGCCACCACTGCAGTCTTCGTTTTACCAGAGACGTCGAAAAAATCTTTAGCAGACATTCAGAAGACTTTGCACAAGGATGAACACAGGAAAATTGACAAAACAGAAAAGAAAAAGGAACTCGAGATAGAAACCATAGAAGCGCAGTGAACAACTTCTGCATCTAATTTATTACACTCTATTTTATAAATACCTACATTTTATGTGTGGAACTTGCCCGCGACAGGAATGCATGTAACATAAAGATCATTAAAAAGTATTATATTTTATTACACTTTACCCTAAATTGTGATCTTTGAATACCGTAACTCTTCAGTCAAGTTTTCATTTACATACGCTCTCTCCTAATGTCACTTGATAATTACCTATCGTTACTTCTTCGTTAAGAAAATACCATCTTTTTAATGAATAGAGACAACAACAAAAATAAACAAATAAACATTTGTTTATTTATTTATCTATTTTATTGCTTCAAACCATAAATGGCTTATACAGCATACAATAGTTGTGATAACACTAGTTTACAGCCAAAATGTACATTCAATGTCACAATTTGTTTCTTATGTATTTTGGCCTACTAAACTCGAAAATCGCAAGAAAAAATTTTTCTATGGATAGGTTTTTTTTATATGAATTTTTGAATTTTTTTTCGATTTTTTTCCAGCATACGTTCACATTTTAGGCTATACCTCGAGTTAGAAACGTCCGATTGAGTCGCGCAAGACGCCATTTTAAAGGTAATCGATTTTCCAACAATTACTTTTCACATTACTTTTCAATCGGTTCAATAGTTTAAGTGTTACGAGCCAATATATACGAGATACTTTGATTCTTTTTGGCTAAAATAGAACACGAATATTTCTTCCATCGCCATGGAAAAATAGAAATTGTCAAATTATGTCCAGTTTCTTATTGTTTACATATAGATCGCACTTTTATGAAGGAAACAAGCTTTCGTTAAAGAAAATCTATGGATAAATACCGGAGTTATGAACAATTGAGTAAAGGTACAAAAATCCCAATTTTACTCTGTTTTTGTATTTTTTTCCTATTTATATAGAAAACATTTATTTAATTAATTTCGCTTAGAAATAATTTCGGCCTTTGCTTTGTCTTCTGTTATTCGTTGGGTTCGTTTTTCTGGTGAGGAACCAAATGTAGTCTCTCAAAATTGTTTCATCCCAATATCCTTGATAACGCTGTTAAATAGTTTAGGGCTTCTGGCTCGGCAGAGTATGAATTATAAGGAAGTTGTTGAAGATTTGCTAATAAATTATGCAAAAATGGGTATGGAATATATATATATATATATATATGAGAACAGTCTCAGTTTGTGATTGATACACTATTTAGCTTCTTCATTTCACCGACAAAATGCGCAGCAGTCAGTTTACATGAATTGTCATTAGGGTCTGAACGTCTGGACTGGTGAACACAGCATTTTAGCTGCGCATAGTTGGAAAGCACCGAATTTGATATTATATTACACAGTGTCACCTTGCACTTTACTGGAAAGGACCTTCATGTACTGGCTGCTCATTTCGATTTCACATCTTTTTCTACTTTCTTCAATTTTTTTAGTAACCTTGATAGCGCTGCTCAATAGTTTTTATACCTTGGTGAAACCTTTCGCCGTGTTCGTGACTTACATCGCCAAGATTCTCCTAGAAAAAATCCAAGTGAGAATGTAAAAAATGAATTTTGAGCGACATATTTACGCCTGTTGAAATTAAAATTGAAATTAAATGTACAAATTTTTCCATTTTGTCAAATCAAATAGAATAACAATATATATATACATATATTGTGACGGGGCAGATCTTTTCTGCCCGTCACGAAGGCACCCTGACCCCGGAGGGTCCTCGCTCCCTCCTCGCCGAACACGCCGCGGAAGTGGTCCACGACGTATGAAGGGATGTGTGGCCCGCGGCCCAATAAGGACCCCCTTTTTGCGCCCCCTTGCGCTCGCGATCAGCGCCGCGTCCCCTCGCGAGCGCGGCAAGTCGCCGGTCGTGGTGTCCTCCACCCAAGGACTCCGGTGTGGCCACCACCA